TTGTGCCATGCCATATGAGGGCAAGAACTGTGCTGTAAAGCTAAAAGTAATTCAGTCATGGCAAGTTCAAACTTGCAGCATGGTCCAATAGTGGACAGCTTGGAGGTTTGGAGATGCTGTGACAAAACTGTCATTTTTGACGCTGAAACTGTTCAAATTCTGATAAAGTCTTTTTTCTGTCTTTCCCTCTTCCTCCAGGTGAACCATTTGACCCCACATACGTGACGGGCCGCACCGTGTCCAATGTGATTTGCTGCTTGGTGTTTGGCCAACGCTTTCATTATGAAGACAAGCAGTTCCTGCACCTCCTGAGCATCATCAGTGACGTTCTCAGATTCAATAGTGGCCCTCAGGGTCAGGTAAGCAGAGGAGGGAACTGGAAGAGAACAGTCCTGACACTTCCTTTATTTTACTCTTACAACATGTGTCTCCCCCACAGTTGTACAACATCTTTCCCTGGATCATGGAGCTTCTTCCGGGCCCCCAGCACAGTATTTTTGCCAAAATTCAGGAGGTGAGGGAGTTTATCCAGAAGAAGATCCACGAACACAAAGAGACACTGGACCCCAACTTCCCCCGAGACTACATCGACTCCTTCCTCATTCGAATGGACCAGGTTGGAAAGATCTTAAAGCTTCAAAATTGAGATTGTGTGTGTGTGTGTGTGTTCTGCGAGCTTCCCTGCTGTTTGTTTTGGTAGCCAGTCTGGCCTTGCATGCCTCCCTTTCAAACTGTGAACCCCAAAAACACACAAACAGCACAACTTTTAACCTAGAGGGGTCACCTTTAACCTTCTCTGTATCCATCAACATAATCCTTTACTATTACCTTAAGTGCTAAGATTTGTTTTCTTTGTGTATGGCAGACCTTAAACCATTCTCATTCCTCAGTTGGAGCATTATTCTTATCAGACATTAAGATAACAATAACCTGGATGGGTGTCTGTCACCTGCTGCTCAATGTGTGCTTCAATATTTACAGTTTTGGTTCTGTTTTTGTTCTTGTAGCTCAATTACTGCTTTGCTGTTTCAGGAAAAGGACAATCCTGCATCTGAGTTCATGTTTGACAACTTGGTTAGTACAGTGATGAATCTGTTCCTGGCAGGAACTGAAACCACCAGCACCACCATCAGATATGCTCTCAGTGTGATGGTCAAATACCCAGAAATACAGGGTGGGTCCCCGAACACAAGACACAGTCACCTTATTAAACCACTTCTAAATATATGTTGGACATTCATAACAGCATTGTAGGGTGGTAATGCTTTGTGTTTTGCCTCCTCCAGAGAAAATGCAGCAGGAGATTGACACTGTGATCGGACAGGACCGTTGTCCCAACATGGAAGACAGAAAGTCCCTCCCCTTCACAGACGCCGTCATCCATGAAGTGCAGCGTTTTCTGGACATCGTCCCCTTCAGCCTCCCTCGCTACGCACTGTACGACATCTCTTTTAGAGGCTATACAATCCCCAAGGTATTTCAGATTTCAAGATATCATTAAAAAGTCAACAGGTATTGATTTAATGTGGACTCCTGTCGCTAACAGTCTGTGTCGTCTCAATAGGACACTGTCATTATTCCGTTGCTGCATTCTGTGCTGAAAGAGGAAAAGCATTGGTCATCTCCCTGGTCCTTCAAGCCCGAGCACTTCCTGGACCACAATGGCAACTTTAAGAAAAATCCTGCATTCATGCCATTTGCTGCAGGTAAAACAGTCCTCAGTTTGTTGATGGATCACCAGATATCATGCATGTTGACCACATTTTGTGCTGAATATTTCCCCTATTGCAGTTACAAACATTTTTTTTTGAAAATAACAAACTGCTTTGTGTGTGATTGTGTCTATTCACAGGGAAGAGAGCCTGCGTTGGCGAGTCTCTGGCTCGTATGGAGCTTCTTATATTTTTAGTGTCCATGCTGCAGCGCTTCACCTTTTCCTGCTCTGAAGGCCCCGACAGCATAAACCTCATTCCAGAGTACAGCAGCTTTGCCAATGTGCCACGGACGTACAACATCATCGCCACACCGCGGTGAAAGGAGAAGCTCCACTCGGACAATCCGACCTGCAACGATTTCTCTACAACACACGTCGCACATCATTGTGACGCAGCAACATTTACGCAACAGCTGATGCTTGTTTTTGCTTCGCTGATACGGTGCACGAGATCATCGGATTTACAGCTTGATCTTGCCATGTTTTTGAATCCTTTTTAAAGAAGCTTTTTCCATAGATAATTTTTCACTGTTCTAATCAATTGTTGGTTCTTGTGTCAATTGCCAAATTTCTTTCTAATGCAATTGAAATAAAGGTGTTTACAGATTTTGAAATAAGGTCTTAACACTATAACTCCTTTGTCCTTGTGTGCACAATGACTCTTCAGAAGTTAGATCTTGTTCAATTCAGATTCAGCTAGTGTAATAATTTATATATTTATAGTATTACTGGCAGGGTTAACGAGGGTACAGTGGCCCCCTTAAGCACAATGTTTATTGTGTTTTATGATTCTTTTGAACTCAACACAATTTGAACACAAGACACATATCAAAGTGAACAAATTTAGAGAGTAAATAAATCACAATTAACTATGGTGTTCTTATTTTAAAACTAAATGTGGGAAATCCTGGGGGAAATCTAAGCCCCTCTGAGTGATGCAAACAAATTTCCCATGCATAATGAGCTACAGTCCTCCTCAGATGTATTCAGACCCTTCTATTAAAGAAAAGGCAAAATTCACAACAGTCACTCAAATGACTAGAAACTGAAAAAAGTAGTAATAAATAAAAATTTGCTAAATTATAATTTAGTGAAATAAGACATTGCTTTTGAATTGTGGTCAAAAAGAATAACTTTTAAAAAAAACTGTCCCGGACAAATTAGAGCACTTTGCTGATGAGCAGTGAAATCAGAATACCTGTCAACAGGTGTAGAAGACTGACTGAGAGTTACAGAAACACCTGATGATGGCAGTGATTGGCTCAAAGGGTTGTTCAACTAAATATTAGTCTATTTGTCCCATCATGCTTGTTTTTTTGTTTATATATATTATTTGTTATTATTTATATATATATTTCTGTTGAACCACAATTCAAAAGCAACGTCATGATTTTCATTAAATTTTTATTTATTATTATTTTTGTCAATTTCAACTTATTTCATTGTTTTTTTCGTCTTTAATGGGAGGGTATGAATACATTTGAGCACGACTGTTTTGATGTTGGCCTGCCTTTAACTGCAACATGAATCTTAGATAACACATAACGAAGACAGTTTAGATTTTTCTTTTATAAAAATTTGACCAGATTATGATTATGATTATGGCCAGCTGATTTACAATTGAGGGGGGCCTAGAACAAAACTTAAAACTTTACTCTATTATCATTGATACTGAGACTCATGTTAAAGTAAAAAATAAAAAGTTAATGCTTTTTTCGTACCCCGGAAGTGCAATGTTTTCTGTTTATTCAACAGGAAACTAAATTATTTTTGATGGCATTTTCTGGCTGCTGGGCTTAGCTTTCCACCAGAATCTGAGAGTTTGGAGTTCATTTGAAGGCTTGTGCTCAAACAGACCTGTTATCTAAAATCGAGCAGAATTGGTGTCATTTTCCTGCACATGATTGACTTTGGATGTTTGCAAGAGCATTCTGGATTTTGGCTGTCGATAACACACCTTGGAAATAAACCGGACAAATTCACATTTGCGCAAAAGTAGTAAGAGATCTAAAGAGAGAGAGAGAGAGAGAAAAGGTGGTTGTGCTTACTTCCGATCAGCAGAAGTTTTCTCTGAGGGGCTGTGCGTGTCCTCAAGTAACCTGGATGTGGCTCACAATGGTTTCCTTTCCAGTTTTGCACCATTCCTCCTGCAATCAGCCCCAAAGGCAGGCGGGGGGTTGGGCAGCAGCAGGACGAGCTGGCTGCGCTCGTCCAGGCGGTCACACGTTCAGTCAGACCCGCACAGGCGACGCGGGACACAGCGCTTGGTTCGTGGACCATCATGGATTTCTTCGGCACCTTGGTGTTGCTCGGCTTAATTTTAGCCTTACTGTGGCTGTTAAGCCTAAAGAGCCGCAGTCGCTGGCGTTTGCCCCCAGGACCCTCTGGTCTGCCTTTAATAGGAAACTTACTGCAACTGGACAAACGAGCTCCGTTCAAAACTCTGCTAAAGGTGACTACAGCTGCTTTGTCAGATTGTTTTGGGGTTTTTTTTGTGTGTGTGTTTTTGCACCGCAGAAAATCTCCACTGGAGTAAAATTACCTGCAGTTATGTCTGAATCACGAACCTCTTTGTAATTCTGAAAGTCAGTTTTAAAAGCTCTAAAAAACAACATGTGGTTAAAGTCTCCAGCTGTTTTTATCTGTCACGTGATGCAGTATTTGCAGTGAAATGCAAAGTGAGCTCAAAGCTGTGCAATAACAACAATAGAAAAAAGTCGTAAATAACAAGGGAGGTTGAAATTGTGAAGTTGTGACCGTTGTGCATGAGTTGCAGTCCTGTGTGTGGGCTGTGTGGTATGTTGTGCATGATTGGTGTGTGTGTGTGTTTTTGTGTGTGCATGTACCTATATGTTGTATACATGTTTACATGGATCTGCAGCTGACAGATGATGTGCTATGATAAAGATTTGTGTGCATGATTTCTGTTTTTTCTTATGCTGTAAAGTTAAAAGTCCCAGGGTGTGTGTTTGTGTTGCTCTCTGCATTGTGCTTTGGGTGGTTCCTTGCATGCCTGCACAAGAAAGCAATGCGTGTTTGTTGTTTTGTTGCCTAACCTCCAGCTCAGTGAGACCTACGGCCCAGTGATGACGGTGTACCTGGGCCCTCAGCGCGCCGTGTTTCTGGTGGGGTATGAAGCTGTGAAGGAGGCGTTGGTGGACCAAGCAGAGGATTTCACTGGCAGAGGACCTGTTCCTTTCATAATGAGGGCTACCAAAGGCTATGGTAATACGGTAGTTGTGATATAAGCAGCAAGCAACTGTTTCATACAACATTTTGCAAACACGGCTGCAAGTCTCCTCCGGCGGAAAGTTTGAACTTGTGCATGCAGCTGTTCTGTTGGTGCACAGTTTGGCAGGTTTCACGCCTTTTCAGACACGTTCACGCCTTGATGCTTTATTGCACAGTAGCCTCGATTCAGCACAGTTTAGGTCACGTTAACCATGAACTTTCTTTGTGCTGATTATACATCTTCACAAGGATTGGTAGTCAGCAATGGAGAGCGCTGGCGACAGTTACGACGCTTCACGCTGACAACTCTGAGAGACCTTGGGATGGGCCGCAAAGGCATGGAGGAGTGGATCCAGGAGGAGAGCAAGCACCTGGTGGACCGTATGAGTGGTACCAATGGTATGTGCAAGAATGACTGGGCATGACTGGTGGTTTTTTGCTCTGGTTCACGACTAGATGTTTTGTTCGGACAAACTAAAGAAAAAGGGATACAAACAAACTTTATTGATCCCACAGTGGGGAAAGTTCACGGTTGCAACAGCTCCAAAAAGAAAAAAGTGCAGAAGCCTGATAACGATCCTGATCATTTGAATCAGGTGTGTTGGAAGAAGGGAAACATCTAAAACATGCAGGATTGCGGCCCTCGAGGACCAGGATTCGACACCCGTGCCATAGGCTGTAAACTTAAACACAGAGTGTTTTACTCAAAGGCAGTGTGAAATACATTTTGCCAGAAATGGGGCTTTGTGTTTGAGTTTTAAACAAAGACAAATTTTTTTAAAAAAAGAGAAAACTGAGCCATAAGAAATATTCAAAAGAAAAATTCAGACAGGAACAGATTTAAATGTTTTGGAACCAAAACTCAGCGATGAGTAAACTAATGTTGCTCAATCGTTGTGTCATTTTGGTTCTTTAAACACTCAAACACAAGGAATTTTCGATCATATGTTGTTAGGCTTCAATGCATACGTACATGTTTTGTTTCTTTGGCAGTTAAATGATTTATTTTAAGATTCACAGATTACGCTCCTTTTCAACAAAAGCCGTGGGTCACACTGAGGACTTCTTTTTTGCCTCCAGCCGTACCATTTGATCCGACCTACTTCCTGAGCTGCTCCGTGTCCAACGTGATCTGCTGCATGGTGTTTGGTCAGCGTTTCACCTATGACGACAAGGACTTCCTGCACCTTCTGCAAATAATCGCAGAAACCCTGAGATTTGGCAGCAGTCCCTGGGGTCAGGTAAGAGGTGAAACAACATGTTGGGCGGGTTAGTGATTAGGACTGCTCTGGTGGAACCCCTGAGTGTGTTTGAGCGAAATCCTCACATCCTGCAGCTGTCGGCACACTCCTGCCACTCTGAATTTATTTCGTAATTACAATTAATCGGGGACACACAGTTGAGCAACATGATTAAAACCTTTACATTTTTATGGTTTTTAAATGAGGGAACATAATCATTAGTTAATTTTAGAAGTTTCTGTAGTTGATTAACATTTTGCAGGTCAGCTACAAAACCAGATAACACATGATAAAGTTTTGCGATAGACGAAAACAACGCAAGTGAAAAACACTTTTAATTGCATCATTGCGTCACCCCTTAACTGAGGAGGAGGAAGTGCACTGCAACTTAACAAGCCATGCAAAAGAGCAAAGCTTAGCGAGAGGAAAACACCTTCATGATATGAGAGCAGAAGCATTGAAAGTGGTAAAAATTAAAATGCCTCGATGCCAGTATCTGAAACACAAACTTGCTCATATGGAAGATATTCAGTCTTGAACCGCTTTCGTTATGTGTTCATCAGCTATGCTGTAGAATGTGATTTTGTTAGAAGTTAGTGGCTGTACTTCTCACACAGTGCTTGACTTTCGTTTCAGTTGTAGGTTTGTGTTTACAGTTGTCAAATTTGCAATTGTGTTATGTTTTTATTGATTTGCAAAGGTCTATTTCTAAATGTAATATGTAGTTGAAACTGAGGTGGTGAAGATGTTATGAAGAGTTGATTGTGTTTTCTCAACTTGTCTTATCTTCATGCATATTCAGTTTAACCTATGATTACATTTATTTCCCTGCGAAAGCTAAGTGAAGTATAGTTCACATTCAGAAACAATTTCTGTCATAATATATTTTCAGAGTGATTTGAAATGCGTATGTAGTCAGGCTCAGTGCATTTCTATTTAAACAGCACAGACTGCCAGCTACTTTCTCTGCTGCTGACATCTTGTTCTGAGACACGTTATTCATATTTCCACTTCCCATCACAGCTGTACAACATCTTCCCTCGGCTGATGGAACGGCTGCCGGGCCAACAGCACAGAGTGTTTGCCAACATTGAAAAGCTGAGACAGTTTATGATGACAAAGATCCAGGAACACCAGGACACTCTGGACCCCGGCTCACCGAGAGATTACATTGACTGTTTCCTTAATAGACTCAGTCAGGTATCACAGAACTCTACTTATCTACCAGAATAAGCCTCTTTGAACTAAATCAGGGGATGCTTGATTTATTTCTCATTTCATGTATTCACTGATGCAAATGCACATACTTCCTGTACTCTCAGTTCGGCCAAGTACCTCTGGCAGATTTGGTAATCTTCCTCGTCCATGTTAACAGCTTGAATTGTGGTCGTGCATTGTTACAACTTGTTCTGACTTTGGTCTTTCAGGAAAAGGACATTCCCACAACTGAGTTCCATCTTGACAACTTGGTGTCAACAGTGTTGAATCTGTACCTGGCAGGAACGGAAACCTCCAGCTCGACCATCAGATACGCACTAAATTTACTGATCAAATACCCTAAAATACAAGGTAGGCAGGCAACGGGAAATAAACTCAAATGAAATCAGCACATTTACTCTAAAGTTTTGTTTATGGGATATTTTTTTAACTTTGTTTTTTAGGTATATCTTTATTTTGCATGATTTTCAGTGGCACTAATTGTTGTAGTTAACGAGCTGTGTTTTCCTTATTGTATAGAGACTATGCAGCAGGAGATTGACACTGTGGTTGGCCGCACGCGTTGTCCTTATATGGAGGACAGGAAGTCCCTCCCCTTTACAGATGCAGTCATCCATGAAATTCAGCGCTGTATGGATATTGTCCCCCTGGGCGTCCCTCACTATGCTCTCCAAGACATCTCTTTCAGGGGTTATACAATTCCCAAGGTATTTTATCACTCAGTGTTGTTGATGTATTATGTTCACAGATGCTGCAAGATGTCCTCTCTGATACAGCAGTTCTTCTCAACAGGGTACATTAATTTTCCCCATGCTGCACTCTGTGCTGAAAGAGGAGAAACAGTGGGCCACCCCCTGGTCCTTTAATCCCCAACACTTCCTGGACCAGGAGGGCAACTTTAAGAAAAACCCTGCCTTCCTGCCATTCTCTGCAGGTAATCAGACACATTTCAGTCTCTCAGAAAATGTGGCTGAACGCTGGAACTGCCTGCTGAACAGATTTTGTTGTTGTGCTCTTTTCTGGGCTGAGATGTGTTTCATACTCTCTCTCTCTCTCTCTCACCGCTTTGTTTGTGGTTGTCCTTCAGGAAAGAGATCTTGTGTTGGAGAGTCCCTCGCTCGCATGGAGATTTTCCTCTTCATCGTGTCACTTCTGCAGAGTTTCACCTTTTCCTGCTCTGAAGGACCCGACAGCATTGACCTCAGCCCTGAGTACAGCAGCTTCGCCAATCTGCCTCGCAAATACATGATCATCGCAACTCCCAGGTGCTGATGATGTTTTAAAGGAAGGAAAGATTTTTGAACCTTTCGTCTGGCATTCATCCTACGAAAAGTCAGGATTCTGTTATAGATGTTCTGTATGGACTTCTTCAGATGTGTGCTGTATGCCACACTTCCAGAAAACAGAGTGAAATATTTCCAGCTAAGCCTACATTTATGGTTTTGTCATAACACTAAATTGGAAATGTATGAACATCTCATTTCTATTTTTAATAAGATAAACCAAAGTGAGTAAACACAGATGTTTAGGCTCAACCAAGGATTAAAAGTGCTACCAAGAATTTTCTGTACTTCACATGTCACAATGGTATTTCCCTTTTTTTTTTTTAGTGTTTACTGACACCCTCAGAATACACATTGCACTATTGAAAGTTTATTTACTATGTTGTGAATAATCTAATTTCATCTCAAAGAGCAGATTAAGCCTGATTGTGTCATTTTTGTACAATTGATCAAAACCACCTGTCATTTCAGCAGATATCTAAATACTGGAAGCTTGTTTTTTTTTTTTTGTGGAGGTTTATTTTCACCCTTTAAACAGGAACGGGTTGGAAAGTCATGTATGGTGAGGTAGGAATCTGTACTTTTTTTTTTATAATAATTTTTGGGCTTTTTGTTTTAGAGCAGTAGAGATAGACAGGAAAGGGGGGAGAGGAATGGGGAGAGCCCTGCAGCAAAGGGAGTCAAATGGGGAACTACAGCCCTTGTTCATGGGTCGCCCGCTCAACTAGGTGAGCTATAGGCGGGCCCGATATCTGTACTTTAATGCATGAATCACAAAATAAAACACGAAAACAATTGCATTCTCATCCGTTTTATTGGTAAACAAGAAATACTGAATGTTTTGTTCAAATTCCATCAGTCGTCGCGTGACCAGACGTAGCGCCCTGAAAACCAGAGTAAAACCTGCTGGTTTACAGTACCTTGCACAGTGATGTACAACAAGGAGTTCTGTTCTGTAATCTGATAAGTTCGAGGTCAGGTGATCGGTCAAGCAGTGTGTCAGCTTGTCACTGTGCTGATGCATGATCCAGTGGATCATTGTCTTGTGTCCGAGCGGATGTCCATCGTGTCAGACTTTGGAGATCACTGTTGAAACTGCAGCTGCAGCGTGTTAAGAACCCATCAAATTATCAGCTATCATGGCAGGTTTTTATCAAACCTTAATCAGACCGGAAGTTAAACATCAGATATACAGCATTATATATTGTACTGTATATTTTGCTTTATAATACAATATTTACAACATATTTACTGAATCTAAGGCTAAATACATTTATTCATACTATATTTATATATCAGAAAATAAAAACTATTAAAATTATGTGTTATTGACTAGAATCAAACTAATTAATAAGATAAAGCGTAGCCTGTATTTTAAAGCCAGATTCAGCCTTCATGGAGATCAGTTATCAATGGATGTGCAAGAAAACTATAGTACATGAGTCCAAGTGACGATGGCACACGGGTGACTATGAAATATTTTATATCCTATTTATAGAAGTGTAAAAATGCAGTACCCATTGCTTTAGGTGCAAGTTGTCATCAGCACTGACTGCATGGGTTGGACATTCGTTGGTTATGAAACTGCTTAACCCCACGTCCAGACGGTTGTTTGTTGTGTAAAGAATGTTGAGTGAAATTTTCTGTAGAAGTGAAAGTAGCCCAAGAATTTAAATCTTTTTCATTCAGCGCAACAAGACTTTATGCATCTTCAAATTGGAATGAATTCAAATCATTCCACATACGTCCATCATTCACATTTTGCTTGTTAAATGTTGGGCAGGTGGTATTTATGCTTCACTTGCTTCTTGACGTCCGGTGCTGGTGAGATGTTGCTGTTTGGTAACTGAGGCAGATACTGAGCCTTAGAGACAGAGAGAAAGGGATGAGAGGAAACCGCAGCACACCTTCTTTGCATTGTTCACATTTTTTTTTTTTTAGTGAGGTGTTCAGCAGCACAGTGAAGAGGTGCTACCTGAGGCGCACGTGTATCAGTAAGTTCAGGGGTTACAGGACGATTCATTACAACATTAAGCCGCCGTGTTTCCTTCTTACCCCTGCCTGTCTGCGCCTGGAGCCTCTGTCGTGTCGTCTTCCTGGGCGTTCACCCTCGCGGCCCCAGTTGGCTCCTTCCTCCTGGAAGTACGGCAGCTCCAGAAGCTCCTCGCAGGACAGCCGCAGAGAGGGGTCCATCACCAGGCATGACTGTTGACAGAGTTAGCAGGGAGCATTGTAGTGATGACTTCACAAAAGCCGGACCTACAGCATTGAATCATCATTTTGTCTGTTACAAACTAAAGCCTGATATGTTGACTAAAACTAATTAATTCACCCAAAAAAAAATGGCAATTTTAGTAAATGGTGCCTTAAATTGGGTTCCTAAAGAATTGTGGAGTCAGAGGATCATTTAGAGAAATATTTCACATCTTAAAGTTGACTTTGTTGGTGCTGTTTTGTCAATAATCCACAATAAGTTCAATAATTAACATATTTTAGGTATATTTTCTCTGGGGTGTAGTTAGCTATCAATCAGTGCACACAGTAAACTGATTCATTGTCTGTGATTACAATAAACCAGTGAATTAGATCAACCATGTTGGTATATCGGTCAGACTCTGTTAAATATTAACATACCTTCATAACCTGAAGGGCATAAGGAGACACACCGTGGAAGCGCTTTTCTAAGGGCTCCTAAGACAGAAAATAAATACAGTATAATGAAATCAACCACATTCATTAAAAACTCATGCATTTGCAGTGGTGACACCATTCATACCGTTGTGTCGGGTTCAGGAATACTGACTCCACTGAAGAAAACGTTGGAGCGGAAGACCTGTTGATGGTGAGGGATCAGGTCACCTAAGGTCAGAAATGACATACTTAAAACATTGCAATGTGTGCATCTGTTGTTGGAAATATTGGTCTCAAACATCATAGTATGTGTCAAGTGTCAAGAGCAACATCTATTGTCAAAGAGGCCAAGGTTGTTTTTTTTCTTATGAATGTGTTTACACCAAAACTTTTTGTTTGGTTCACACAAACTCTGCAGCATTTGTTTGGTTTTAATTAGCTTGGACTGTTGTGAAAGCTGTCAAGGGACCAAATAACAGGATAAATCTGTTCTCAAGCTAGAGCAGTTTGCAATGTGATATGAAAACAAACCACAAGACTGTGTGACAGAAGATGCTTCAGCTTGAATTTACTAAATCCATGTGATGATCATGGGAACTGTCAAAAAAAATAAATCTGTACCGTTCCTGCTGTGTAAGCGATTTACACAAGTGAGTTTGTGCGTCCACAGGTGGATTATTTCGTAATGTCAGTGTACCAAGAGTTTTTCGGATGAGGTAGAGCTGGTCGACGTCAGACTTCCCAGGCCAGAGTGGATTCCCATGAAGCAGCTCAGCAAAGACGCAGCCCAGAGCCCAGACATCCACAGGCGGTCCGTACTGGGTGTCCCCGACCAGCAGCTCGGGGGCCCGGTACCAGCGGGTCGCTACGTAGTCGGTGTAGTCGTCCTCTGGTCCCGCTGAGGATACCAACACGCAGACAGATAGAGATAAGTTGTGGGCGCACCCAGTCACTTAGATGCTGAATAATGAACACTAAATAACATGTACATTGTAGAGTAAAGGATTACAAGACGTGCTGAACGACTACATGTTAATGTATGGTAACACAACACTGAAACTTAAGGCCCGGTGGGTAAACAGAGACACACTAACTGGCTGAGTGGTCCTCCTATGCGATGCATTCACTGAATCACTGAAAGTGAGGAGGCCGTCCGCAGCAGCCGATATAGGTTCTGTGCTGAATAAGTCATTAGAGGTACATTAAGACAAAATGCACATAAACACGCTGGTTCTCAGGATGACCTACTCAGAATGCGGGCGAAGCCAAAGTCGCAGAGCTTGATGACTCCGGTTTTGGTGAGGAGGATGTTCTCTGGCTTTACATCACGATGGATGCACTGCGACACAAACAATCAGGATCAGGGATTTAGACAACATGATTTATAGTGTCTCTGTGATAGGAGAGGAGATTTATATTAAGGCGGACGGATTAGAAACGGAAGAGGAAGAACAATTTCAAGAGATTAGTAACATATACACACATTGAAACTGAATACTACTTTGCAATGAGGAGACTTCCCGTTGTGGAAGTGTAATATTATGCTTAATATGGGTTTAATTTTTCTTTTTTTGCAATTATTCACAAGTTTTGTGGTTTGAGATGCTGCAAATTTCCCCACCAGTGTAAACCACTCCCCATTCTGGTGCCTAATGGACAGTTTTAGTCAGCCTTCACAAGTTTTTTCTGACATTTTGTACTGAAAAGTGAGCTTGGCAACTATTTACTGGTTTTGGAAAGCTGTGAACAGGTGAACAAACATATTTCAACTGTTAGCAGCCACAATAAGCACTAAATGATGGAGCATTTTTAATCCAGTGATGCAGCTTAAAGTGCTCATGTAGTTAAATTAATTTGCACGTACAAAGTTAAGCATTAAACAGAATATTGCATTATTAAAAAAAACAACAAAAAAAAAAACATATTAAACCAATTAACAATATGTAAAATGTTTCTTGAAAAATTTCCAATAATCAGATATTGAGAGTTTTCATTTTCTGGTACAGCGTAAAATATGGTGGACAAATTACACAGCCTTCATTATATAAAGAAATGCATTAAAATTTAAATTAAAGCCAATAAGAAACTGCACATTTTGTCCACCACCCTTCACAGCAAGTCGCATCAAAACCTCATGACCGGTATGGATAGAATGGAGACGAATGATGACACAACACGGTCATTTCATCACATATAGCATGTGACTATTGCTTAAAAGAGGGCGAAAAAGGGGAAAATCACAGAAAAGAAAACACATGAAACGAGGTATCATGCTAAAAGTGTACTGACATTGTGCTTGTGGCAGAAGTTAACAGCCTGCAGAGTTTGCCACACTATGCTTTTCAGCTGAGCCTCCGGCACCCTGCAGAGAACGGGACACAAAGGAATATCGATCACTGTGAGAGGAAGTAAACACAACCTATTTATTAGCCACATTTTTTTTTTGTCTCATCTATTATTCCACCCATTTTTAAAAAAAACGAAGCGGTGCTTTACGCGGCCCTCATGTCACCCGGGTAACCTTAGGCCCGTCTCTAACAGCAGCAGCGCCTTTGTTTTCAAGAGCAGCTAGAGTTTCTGCTGCACAGCCTAGTGGGAAAAGGAAGAATGGCTCAGACAACAACCAGCCATTGTGGTTTGGGCGAGTTCACATGACAAGAGATAAACTTAAATCTTATCTTGTGACCGCAGGTTGTGCGAGGAAGAGGGGAGAATACTTTGATCTTTTGCTGTTAAACTTGGCTACTCCTGCCTCATTCTATCGCCAGCATTCCCCGTCTTTGAAATCTCTCGGCAACAGTCCTGGTTCCCTCGTTTGTAATTCGCCCTCTTCCTTTCTTTTTTTGTGAGCAAAAGCAGGAGACGAGCTGATGTGGACACTGTGCGTTCTGTGGCAAGATGCATGCTAAACAGATCACTCCTTAAACTTTAAAGTAAAAGAAACATTACCCAAAAAAGTCAAAATACTCCATCACAACTGAAAATCTCACTTTAAAATTACTGGAATAAAAGCAAGGCCTTATGGGCTGCATGAACTCTGAGAAAACAAACCTGACAGACTTCTGAGGCTGGAACTGACATATTATCTTTAAATATCATGTAATACATAACCGGGTATTTTCACATTTTTCTCAGCAACACTTCAACAGATCACACGGCAGCAGACGACCCTTTGCTAAAGGCCCGTGCTTGGCCCCAACCTACCCTCGGGGGTGTTTGTCCAGCTCGTTCAGGACCGTCTGTTCGCAGAACTCAAACACCAAGTGGAGCCGTCGTTTCCTCCTGAAGACCTCCAGCAGGTTGACCAGATTCACGTGTTTCAGCTGCTGTAGGACCAACGCGGAGCAAACATGTCAGGACGAAAATGCTTAATTCATGTTCAGATAAACCTACAGAGGTTCTATCTGCCCCAACTGCCTCTAATGCTTATATCTTTACTTTAATTTACACACCACACACAATAACAACCGATGCAAGTTACATCCTAAACAAAACGACACAAGATCGTAGAACTTAAAGAGCACATGATGTGTGCGTCCACCTGTGGTGTCCATGTGAACAAACTTGATACTGTAAAGCCCGGGTGACACCACGCTCCTCTCACCTTCAGCATACGTATTTCTCGCAGTGCAATCTTCTTAATGACCGGGTCATCTTCAGATTCCACAAACTTCTTGATGGCGACTATCTGCCCAGTGTCTCTGTGTCTGCACTTGAACACCACACCGTAGGAGCCCTCACCAATTTTGGCCAGTTTTTCGTATTTCTCCATGGGGTAGCCACTAGCTGTCACCTGGCAAAAGGGAAATATTATTTAGATTATTAATAAACACAATAATAACAATAGATAGTATCAGCATGCACATGTCAGTGGCCACCGTTTATCTCACACTCTAACCTTACAATGCATGATTTGGATTATATTTTCCAAATCTAAGAAGGAATTGCAGTCCACAAGATGCATTTTTCGTGGATAAAACTACCTCTAACAGATCACAGTGCTGACCTATAGACACACACACACACTCACGTCCAGAGTCTGAAAGCGTCTTCATCCAGTCCAGTCCAAGCAGCCCATTAATAGCCTCTAAATGTGCATGCAGCTATGTGACTTCTGTCATTTCTCCGAGGCTCTCTGGTCCTGAACTGATTATTGCTGCAGTCAGGAGGTCTGTCACCTTCCCTCTGCAGCTACTTGAACCCACTCCCTCTGCTATCTGCTCTCCCGGTGCGTCGTCACTACCTTGGCAACCTCCCGTGGCTATTATCGCCCCTCAACTAAAAAGTCGGTTCAAGTCTTTCTGAATCTATTTTCACGATGAAACGAAGCTGCGGGGCTTTAAAAACACTATAATAAATACGATGTTTAACTTACCTCGTACAAAATGCGCAGAAAAACGGCAAAAATGCGGCACAAATACAGGCTTCAGATTCCCAAAGCTGGTTACGCACGTTAAAAGACGCAAGTGGATACACTTTCGCTGTAACCATGGAGACAGGCGGCCAACGGGTGACTGCCCGTTGGAGGAAGCAGAACAAAAATTAAAAATTAAAACATTTAACCAGCAGTAGCCTACAGTACAAATTCTGTCAGTTAATATTTAGGCGTTTGTAAATTGTATATATATAAAAAAAAATAAAATAAAAAAAAAATACTGTTAAAAAAAGGAAAAAAATCGGCAATAATTTCAGCATTTTTTAAATTTACTGTATTAAACAGTATTACCATATTCATACAGTTTTCAATTAAAAAGCTTGATCTATTATAAAATGATTTTTTTAATGAGGCTGAAATTGCAAAATGTATTTCAACAGTTTTTTAAAAAAAAAAAAGATTTTTATTATGTTATTTACTTAAATATACTTAACTTATTAACATCTAATTCATGTTATCTATTTTGTCTATTTCTTATTGATACTTTGATTAACATAAAAAGTAAAAAAAATATAAATAAATTACATGTTTTTACAGTGCTGAGCAGAACAAATAGAAAATCCAAGTAACTATATTTTTTTTATGCAAAAATCTATATATTTCTTGATAGTTTTTCAGCCATATAATTTTTGTGCACTAAATAGCTTTCTTTTCTTTGCCTAGACATAATCTATGTTTTTGTATATATTCTTATTCTTACTGTACATTTTAAAAACCTCTAAGAAAAACAAATATTATAGCTGAAGGAGGAAAAAGAATGAAATGTTTGGCACTTAGGCTGTTACTTCATCGAGGCTTCTTCTGCTATGCCCAAGGATCAGCAAGGATAGAATTACAACTTTAAAAAAACAACAACAAAAGGCTCCTTTCAGGTTACTGATTGCATTGTTTACTTTGTGCTTGAAGCCTGTGAAACACTTAAAAAAAAAGCATATCGTTGTTAATATCCTAATCAGTGGCAGAAACTAAATATATTGACTCGTGCACTGTCCTTAAGTAGAGCTGGCACTTGACTGTATCTATTTGACAGCTACATTTTGAAAATTAGGATTTTTTTCCCAAAACAAACAGCTTATATTATATAGTTTCATGTTCCAGCAGCATAAAAAGTATAATGGAACTCATCCTTGATTATATGAGCTGTCATCTAAATAAAGTTTCAGCGCCTCGTGCCAGTGCTCAATAATTTCACCAGTTGGAAACACTATTGCAGCATCATGCCACTCTGCCACAGATATGAAATGTATGCGGCACCAACTCTGATGTGGCAGCGTGATTCATAGACTATCTGTTCTCTCTGTTGACTGTGATTTTTTTTTTTTTTCTTAAACCAGCGTCCTCCTTCAGAGAGTCTTCGGTGTTTGCCACAGCTCTATGGGAATCCCACAGAGAATCATTTAGGACTTCACAGTGAATGATGGGAAAGCAGACTATGTTGCACTCTTGTGCTTGGCGACACACAGACACCTTGGGGTGCTGGCATCGAGGGCTTGCGGTGAAGGGTATGAAATGCCCCATGGCAGACTGGTCAGACGGGCTGGTTGTACGGAGTCAGTGGTACATGGAGGTGGTTGTGTTTAGACGCCCGTGTATTTGAGATGTGTTGCTAAAGCAAAATGTGACTTCTGTTCAGCGGTTTCCTCTGTCAGTGCAGGCTTTGTATTATCCTCGTCTGGTCTTTGTCCACTCAGACGGTCTTGATTTATATCCCAGTTAAAAGAGTGAAAGAGGCATTTCATTAAACGTATGACTGAATTTGTTCGTACCAACATAAAGAAAAGATGTCTGTTAGCTTGTGGGGTAAACTTATGGAACAGTCTGAGCTCAAAATTAGCACAACTATGAAACAGTTTAAGAAAATATACAAATAAAAAAAAAGACTGCTTTAAAACAATAAGGTGGAACAGTAAAGATGTTCTTGGGGTTTCGAAAGAGGTATTATGTTAGAAGCAAACAGTAAGAAATGAGATGTACAGACATGCAGTAGATAGGAGTTAATAAGTTCAACTTCATCTTACTTGTTTTCAGACATTAATTTAGGTTCTGTTATAGTTTTTTTTATTTTGAGTGTTTTATTTTTTCTGTATGCAAGATTTTTCTCTTCTAATTTTGCAGCTGTTGTGTTATCTCTCAGACAACACGAGACAAAAGATCTGCAATTATTTCCACTGTGACTCTGCTCTACCTTGTCTATGCTGCTGCTGCAAAGGCAGTATACGCTCGCTTTTTGGGGAATTTGTGCAGAAAGTGCAAAAGAGGAACATCACTCCTGAAAACAATGTGCCACCTTTGCCCACTAGATGGCAGTGCATGCCTGTCAATGCTCAGAACACAAGCCGCAGTGATAGCTACTAACATTTCAAAGCCATTCGCGTTTTATTATCACCCTCTTATCATTAGCTGAAATCACGGATACACAGCAGCTGACACACCAGCATCGCCTCCAGCTTCTTTGTCTAAATGATCACTTATGTCTGCTGTTATCAATGCTGGAGTTTCAGGGGATTTTTGGCTTGAGTTTCCTTGTGGAAATGTCACCATTTATTTTTTGTGCTTGATGAATAGCTTATTCTTCAAAACAAACAATAGACACCCACTGAAAACTGATTTGGAATAAACCTTAAAAACTCCAAAGACTGTACAATGGCAGTGTGCTATCTTTACTTCCCTGTTGAATCATCCGTCTGACAGAGCAGAAAAGATTGAAACCATCACTGGTTTGTTTTAGTCTAGCCTTCCTTTTGAAAATACACAATCCGACCTCTAAAAAGCACCCAGACCTGGGCTAGTGCACCACACAGCCCTGCCCTGTTGGCTCTCCATCCCTTGAAGTTTGCCGTTCTACTTTTAGACGTGCTTGTTCCAAGTGGCTCAGCTCTTTGGCCTGGCAGGCGTTACACCTTCACAGCCACCAGGTAAATGTGGCGGTCAGTTGGTGAGACACTTGTGCCATGCGGGGCTTTGTTGACATGTCAGTCATCGGTGCCTCGGAGGCAGAAAGGCCTGAGCGTGTGAGAGAGCTGGAGCCTTTTAAAGTCAGAAAGTTATTCAGCGTGTTCAGCTTCCTGATGTGGACAGAAGTCAGGCAGCAGAGCTCTGTTAAACAGCAGATGTTTTACACTGCGGCCGTTACCCTCATTTCCTGGGCGGAGAGCTCCTCGCTCTATTAGACGAGTAACAGGAACCAGAAAAAAAAAGAAGGGTTAGAAGGAGAGAGAGAGAGAGAGAGAAAGAGGCAGAGCGAGGGACTGCAAGAAAAGTTATCTGAGCTCAGAGCGCTCACAAATCACTTTGTCACCAGCAAGCTCTGACAAGCACCAGGAGGGAGAGCGCACAACAGAGAGGCAGAGTTAAATAGAGGTGTGAATAGGGAGTTGTGTCAGTGGAGACTCGAAGGGAGAAGGTGTGAAGGAGCTGTAGAGGGCATAAATGAGGTGATACCGATGGATGGATAGAGACAAGAGAGGACAGAGACTACGATCCAACTCCCAAAACATCGCAAAGATAAGAGGGACTGTTACTTCTGCTACTGCTGTCGTTGCTGCTGCTGCGTCTGGATGGTTCACTCATTTAAAGAGAAGGTGTGTCAAACTCTAATATCTGTTACTGGAGGACAGCGTTTCATTGACACTGACATTTTGAGGTTCCGATAGCGGACCTGCTTGAGCTATTTTAATCTCAGACTTTGGTACATAGAGAGCATAACACTATCATACTATCATGTTTGAGAATGAAGAGACTGATAGAGAGACAGCTGCTCTGTCTGTGAAGTAGACATGAGTCGCAGGCGTTGAAAGCAATTTCTGGTGTACTGCAGCTGTACACAGATCACATGTTGTTATTGGGAAAAAAGAGGTAGTCAGAGCAGAGAGCAAGACACGTTCATAAAGTCTTAGGGGCATGCACCGGTTCGTGATTGGTGTTGAATAAGTTGGGTAATTACATTTTTTTTAAGCACCATTCCTTCCATTCACTTTAGATATTTGATTAGCTCTGGGCTGACTCAAAAAGCCCCCCCGAGAGTTTTATCTGGGCTGTAAAGGAAGCCAGAGGTCATCTGATCAAACTTCAAAAACAGAGAAATAGGAAGGCCATTTTTTCACTTTAGGCACAGGACATTGCATTGCTATTTTCTCTTCCTTAGAGACTAACTAAGAGAGGGCCTATCTGTCACTAATTCCATACAGAACAGCTCTGAATGATCTGTGAAGAGACCCTGTTGGCCAAACAAGACAGGAAGCAGTGCCAGATTAAAAGCTTCAGTCTCAGATAGTAAGTGAGTTGGACTCTGCCAACACCAAACTTCACTTTGCTGAGTGTTGTACAGCTTCTCTCACATTCGCTCAGCTGGCCTCGGGGGACATGTAATGAGAGACTGCTTGGTGAGCATTACAGCACTGAGCTGACACGTGGAGGAGTATATACCGCTCTGCTCTGAATGAGACGGGATTTAATCTAATATTGCTGGCCGAGGCTTGAAAACATATCGATGACAAGTTGGTCTGTAAGTACAAAACCACGTCTGTTGACTATCTGATTGTTTGGGGCTGATGGGAGCTGCAGAGGCCTTCTGAGTCTCGGGGGCACTGGCTGCGTGCACGTTTGGATGGAATCTTTTAGCATTTGACAGCTTCACTCTGGACTCACTTCAGAGTCTGGGACGTCATTGTGTTACCTGTGTGGCTGAGTCAGAGGCTGGCTCATCACTCGATGTCTGTCCGCCCACTGGGATTCTCTCAATCTGACTTTGTGCAAAGAAGACACAAGAGTTAGGTGGTTTTCACAGCAGCAGCGACAGCTGTGGCACCAGTAGTCGTGAATTTTCAGGACTCTCCACACTGCTGTAATTGTTCTGTCGTGTGTAAACACCTTGCGTCAGTCACACCTCTCCACGGAGTGATTCACTGTTCCCTACACATCCCCAGTTAGAGGCAGGTATTGAAAGAAAGGTGAGGGAGAATTTGCTAAAGCCCAGAGCGCATAAGTGGCTGCACTGTCCGGCTGTCACCATGAAACTGGGATTCTTGATGCTGGTGGTTGTGTACACCGTGGGCAACGTAAGCAGTATGTCTACGTGTAAGACTGTGGACTTGGAGATGGTGAAGAAGAAGCGCATCGAGGCCATTAGGAGCCAGATCCTCAGCAAACTGCGATTGCCGAAAGCGCCCGAGCCGGATCAGGCTGGAGATGATGAGAACATCCCGACCAACCTGCTGTCACTCTACAACAGCACCAAGGAGATGCTGAAGGAGCAGCGGACCGATGTCCAGGTAGACATCGCCACCGAGCAGGAAGAGGAGGAGTACTTCGCCAAAGTGCTACACAAGTTCAACATGACCAGTGAGTACCAGACAGCTCCGAGGAGCAATATATGAGTGTCATGAATCTTTGTCAACCCTAACCTATTGTCAAAAATGGGGCAATTGCTGTCGGCTTTACTGTAGCTGTAAGCAGTAAGAATGTCAAGTAATAGTGACTGTGATTTATGTTCCTGCATTTACAGGCACTCAAGGCACATTTTTCAAGACACACACACACACACGTGGAAGCAAATATCCTGTCTGATTTTAAAAATGGTCATTCTTCAGAGCTTGAATTAATAGTTGCTAAAGGCAGAAGGACACTGACGGGTGTCTTCTGGAACAAGAACTACTAAATACAAAGGTGTCAAAAACCACAAAAGGTCTGCTGCATGCTCAAAGCCAAACGTTTAACATAGTGTTACATTTCGGCACGAACAAGTCTTAAAGCAATCACTGGGATAGTCAACCCTTGTGGCTGTTGCCCAAGCTAATCAGTATTTGCCTGATGGCTGGTGTCAGTTCCAATCTTGTCCATAAACTCCCTTAACACATGTACTCCTTATGATCTCCACCCAACATCTTCAGGCAGCTTGAGGAGTTCAGAGATCACAGGCGTTACAAGTTAGCAGCACTGTGAGCTGCATCTGGTCTGATTCTCCGTGTTGCTTGCATGATATCCATGGCATTTTTACTGCTTTATTAGCGCTGTTTGTTTGGCGAGGCTGCACATGTTTGTTCAGCCAAATAGTTTTTGGCTGTAATTGTGCAATGACTCCCAAACTATTATGATAAACATATTTTTTTGGTTTTGTTTCTATGCGCCATTGTTCTCTACATGCCTACACTCCTCACCCTATCAGGCAGGCATCCACACTATCCCCCTTTTATCCACCACTTCAAAAGAGAGACTTGAGTGGATGGACCACGCTCAGGAGTGCGCAGACCAAAAGGGAGAACAAAGCAACTCTCGAAATGAAGGGCATGATTTTGTTCTGCTTAGATGAAAACCAAAGAACAGGATGGAAAATAGAAAAATTAGATGACAGGAGACATAATATACACTTCTTTACCTTCACCCTGTCTCATTTTCTCTTTCGTTTTCTCTTTTTTTCTCTCTCTTTGTCCCTCGGGGATTGGGGTTTTCCTGTAACTTGAGCATTGGATTCTCCCTTGCTTATCCTGCCACTTGTTCTCCATCATATCTCTTTCTCTTTCTCGCTGCTAATTTTGCTTTTCATTCCCATGTCTCTTTAACCACGACTGCCCGTCTCGCTCACTCCTCTCTGCGCTGGGTTTCCTGAGCTTATTATCAGTGTGTTTGCAGTGTGTTTGTGACAGGGCAGCTTGGCAGGAAGGAAGGCAGGCTGATGGCCACTGAGATCTTGAGTGACTCAGGTCCGGTGCAAGCGGTGCCCATGGGGAGCATGTGTTTCCTACCTCTTTGGAATGCCAGAGAACACCCATCCACTGTCTTAGGCCAGTGTGGCTCTTTAAAACGGAGTCAACCTCCTCGCTCTGGAAAAAGGAGAACGCCAAGTGGGTGAGAATGTGTGGTTAGTCCAATTAGAACTGTTGTGCAGTCATTAATAATAAAAACAAACAAACCAGAGGGCGAGGGCGGCGATCCAGCTTCTGGTTTTCTGTAAAAAAAATGAAAGATGGAGGACTGTGTTTACAATCAGAATCCTAATGGAGAGCAAGTTTGTTTTTTTTTATTTTCACATTCATTACCAATCCTATTCGTCATTTCAATTAGTGGTTGTTTTTTATTGGACGACTCACACTTTCCTGATACCCCGAAGCAGCCTACAGGGATACATACTTGTGTGCAGAGCATTTTAGAACTTAATAGTTTTTGTCTCCATTGCGATAATTGTGCAGTGGATTAGGCTAAATTCCTCCAGCCAGTTAGCAGTAACATCCCTCCCCTTGAAGCCCACACAAATTCACCTCTCCCAGTTAGCGTGCTGTTGGTCCAAATGTAATTTAGCTCATTTACAGAGGGAACTCTTTTCTCCTTTGGAAACCAGCCACTGTGCGCCATTGGGGAGTGAAAGGAGTTCAGTGCAGTGGAGTAATTATTATAGTTCCCAGTAAATGAAACTACTACCGCTGTAAGAGGGAGAGGAGCTAATAGGGGTCCAACAGCATGTGTGAAACAGGGTGAGATGGGGAAACAAGGCATTGATGAGTGGGCTGTGGGAGGGTGGAGTCGAGTACGAAGGAGGCAGATATTTAGCCAGTTGCTGGAATCTGGTTCCTCCCACTGGTAATTATAGAGCTGTCTCCCTACCTGTCACAACAGCTGTCCCCGGCTTACCTGTGGATAGGCCCTGATTCAACACACAAATCCCCCCCCACACCCATGTTAGTGCACAGACTAGGGTGCTATCTTTACCCCCATCTGGAAGAACGAGGCATTATCGCAGCCAAGCGTGGAGAAGAAATTTTACACCTCGCTCCCGCAAAATGCAGAATTTTGATCGCAGGAGCGTTTCGGTGACAGGCCTCCAGAGACAATGCAAGCTGTGTTAATTAGAAAGTAGAAGTGAGGATAAAGCTTCACCGTAATTACGGCACTGCAGCCAATATGCTTCTTAGGGGAAGTGACTTAATTTCCTGTTTCGCAAACACTTCTCTAACCCTTAACACATTTATCTCACTTTTCTCAAACTTGCTGGAGACGACGACTTTCCGTGCTCGCTGTGTTGCTCGGTGCACCATTTCTCTGCTGTCCGTGATGCTCTGCGTTTCCATTCATGCGCTTAGAACCAAACATTCGACTGTACTCTGGGTGGGACCAGTAAAATGTCATCTCATTTCCCGTTACACTCCACATCAGCTCTTTTTTTTGTTTCAGTTTGGCTTCAGCACAAGGGGTGAAACACTACCTCAGCCACGACCCAGATGGTGATACTGGTAAATGATACACAGGCAGCCGTGACATGGAGTATCCTGGTACAGCTTGGACCGAGTATGTAGAGCAAGTATGCGAGGCTGGGATGTAATTCCTGTCAAAGAGTAATTCCCGGACTTGAAAGCAGAGAACCCTAGCTTTGGCAGGCTGAGGCAGAGTAGGGGATTTGGGCCTGAGCCAGACCTTGCGCTCCATTGATACACATCTCCGATTTCTCCACACCCCCACTCACACCCTTCCACCCCTCGCAACTGTGACTTACATTCATATGAGTGCATTCTTCCCTTCGCTGTTTTCTTTGCATTTACCCCGTTACATGCCCCCCTTTTACCGCCTCTCACTCTCTCTTTCTACGCAGCGTTACTCGCGATCATCTGCCTTCCTGTGCCTATCTTCGCTCGTCTCTGTCCGACTTAATCTTTCGTAAAGCAACACGGGTAGATTTATGGTGTTAAAGCCCTCAGTAGCTTGGCTCTGTGTTTTATCAGGCTCTGTAGGGGGAATGTTCCTGCTGTCATGATATGGGCAGCCTCAGGAATTAAAGTTGCAAACATGGGCAGCATTAATGTAAGAGAACAAAACAGTCTCTATAGTCAACTTTACAGCAGCTGGAATGGATGAATGTTTGGCGGATGTTACGATTATTGAATAACGCTATGAACTCACCGATTTTATTTCATTAATGTGAGAATTCTGAAAAGCATTTACGAAAACAAACTTTTTTTTATTAAGTTTATTAATATAAAACAGAATGTTTACTATCTGAGTATTATATTATGTAGTAAATTAATTTCAGAAAAAAAAGGAAAAAAGTTAATAGCTAAAAGAATCTGAGCCACACAAGAACAGATTCTTTGAATCACATGTCCATTAGTTGTTCCCTTTCAGTGTCTAGTTGTCCCATTGCCATGTCCCGTAAGAAACAACAAAAAACAGACTTTCTTGTGCCAGGACATGTTGCAGTAAAGTTTGTTTAGTGAATAAAGCTTCAATGTTGTCTACTATTAGAAAAACACCAGAGCTCAGAACAGATTAATCTAATACCAAAACATTTCAGCGCTGCTTCTGTTCTCTTCTACCCCTAAAATTGACTTTTGATAGGGAAAGGTCCACATCTGAGCATTTTAATACGTAATATTTGCTCTCACACAGTCTTGATCTCATATCTATATTGTCCCACATCGTGTGTCTTATCTACTTATTTTTAAATGAAATAAATTCTAAAAAAAAAATAAAAACACATGATACAAACAGGCCAAGCAGAGCATTTAACTTCAAAGTGGTTCCTATTCTTTATGGATACGGTTGGCTTGAAAGATTGTATGACAACTGGTGTCTCATCGGATTAGAAATTATTTGGGTATTATATATTAAAAACAAACAAGCAACACCTCTATTTCCCATGTGTTTATGGAACATTTACACAACCTGCTTGTCCAAAACAACTGAAATCTACAAACAAGTAATTGCCCCTTTTTCTAAATCACGCAGAAAAAAACGACACAGACACCACACAGAAGTCCAAAATCATCCCGATGTTCTTCAGCATCTCGGAGATACGGCAAAGTGTGGGGGATTACCGCCTGCTGACCACCGCAGAGATACGGATGCTCATCAAGAACCCCAGGATTGACGTTGAGCAGCGAGTGGAGCTGTACTATGCTCAGGGAAACTCGACCCGATACCATGATTCCCGCTTCATCACAAATGAACTGAAAGACAAATGGGTGTCTTTTGACGTCACTGAACCCCTGCGGGACTGGCTCAAAGGGACCGGTGAGATACACTTTATTTACTGGTCTGGTACTCGTGTAAAGTCTGTTAGTTTAATCCATCCTGTGTGCAATATCAGATGATATTTACCTTCACTAGTAACCACTCACTTCTAAATTCCTAAATGCCAATACATTTCTGTTCTACCAGAGGATGAGCGGAGCTTCCAACTTCGAGTGTATTGCGAATGTGGCCAGGCCGGTACTGACTTCAAATTCAGCATCTCTGGGACTGGGGCCGGCCGAGGAGACACGGAAATTTTAGTAAAGATGACGCAACAACCACCGTACATCCTGACCATGTCAATCCCTCAAAGCACCGCCAGCCACCCCATCTCACGCAAGAGACGCTCCACAGAGACGAGGGATACCTGCACAGCGTAAGCACTTCTGCGCCTACCACGATGCTCTGCTGCACTTTATGTCCCTGACACTTTTAAAGCTGCATTTGGCAGCCTGCCCCCATTGGCAACTTGAAAATGCAGTGGCAGGTGAAACAAAGAACATCAACTATTCCTGGTAAACCACCGTATAAGCCTGTGGCCTTTTTAATAGCTGTATTGTAAATGAGCAGCATTTATACAGCGCTTTACAACCTACGAAGGATGAGGCACTTTACAATGCGCCTCTCATTCAGCCACCCACACACTGACGCAAGGCGCAACCGCCATGCAAGGCGCATGGCCCGGCCACCGGGTGAAGCTGGAGCGTAACACTGTGCTCAATGTGTGGACAGGAATAGCTGGGGTTCAAACCATCAACACACGCTTCCCTCTGAGTCACAGCCACAGTGGATCAGTGGCTCAGTGCTTAAAGGCCAAAGTTTATATTTTATTGTTTGGGGTAGGAAAGACTTGTCAAATACAGCTTTAGTTGGTACGCATGAAATACGCATGCATTGTTACGTCTGCCCCTTTATTTGTGTTTTTCTTTTTGCATAAACTATCATTAGCTTTAAAATGGACATTTTTCAAAAACATGAACCATCGACGGCATCTATGCTCAAAAAATAAACGTACCATCTCCCTGCTGTCTCCTACGTAGCCAAACAGAGACCTGCTGCGTGCGGAGCTTGTACATCGACTTCAGGAAAGATCTGGGCTGGAAGTGGATACACAAGCCGACGGGATACCACGCCAACTACTGCATGGGATCTTGCACCTACATCTGGAATGCTGAAAATAAATATTCTCAGGTACAGTTGTCGATCGACATCTAATCATATGGCTGAATAAGATGTAGTGGTTTGGCTTTTCAGACCTGATTACTTTGATTTACAAAGTAGTGTGAATTACATCAAGTAGCGAAGTCGGGTCTTATTAGGAAGTTTGGAATTGGTCCTTTAAATGATAATTGATTAGGCTTCAGCTTCTTAAAGGTGAAATTTTGCTGCTGTTGGAACACAATCGGAAGATATTACCGAGGACCTCCTGACATTACTGATTAAACAATCAATTAAAGAGGAAAATCAGATGCTAATGTGAAGTTGTTAAGTTGCATACTAGTTGTTAAAGACAGTAATCATGACTTGCAGGCTTTATTCAAATATAACAGCACTAAAATGATATTTTTAGCCGCACTGATGATGTGGCACTAAGGACGGCAAACGTTGGTCTGTTGGTAGGTTGGCCCACCATGTTGCTACAGACTGAAATATCTTGTAAAGTATTGGATGAATTACCATAAAATTTGGTACACACATTCAATATCCCCCTCTGGATGACATGTAATAACGCCACAACCATCAGGTCAATGTAACGTTTAGATTTATCAACATAGCTGCAAAAAATGACGTGACCATCAGCCTTAGCAGGACTTTGTCTGACCTCATTCGGACTGACATAGCATTTAGCACAAAGCACCACTATGCCAAGTGCAGAATCACAGAGCCACCAGTGTAAGTTCTCTTCCCCGTGAACTGAAGTCACACACAACTAACATGTTGTGTCAGTGACGTCTGAAAATGTGAACTGTTTTTTTTTTGCAAACTTTGCATTTGTCTCGGGTCTTTTTCACAGCTGAATGTTTGAAATGGCACTCAGCCAGCTAAAGGTATCCAGTGATCCTTATTTAGTAACAGATGTTATCACTGAGTACGATGTAGTGATTAATTAAGACATTTTATATTTTACAACTATTAAATAATGAAAAAGTGTCCCAAAAGCATTCTGTGGTTTATATGTGGGTTTTAAGAAAGGCACTCTTGTTAAATCCTCAGTCGTTATAAGGTTTGTCTATTACAATTGCTTTGGCACATGTCTTATTGGTGATGACATTCTGATCTGAGTTTTCTGGTATTTCCCTCGTGTTATTGCTAACAGATTTTGGCTCTGTATAAGCATCACAACCCAGGAGCGTCTGCCCAGCCCTGCTGTGTTCCCCAGGCACTGGAGCCTCTGCCAATCCTCTACTACGTGGGCAGGCAACACAAGGTATCGACACCGCAGCCGAGCGACGGCCGCTCTGACGGGGGGAAATGCTGACTGAGCACTTTATGCAAAAGCAACACAGATGATTTACTGTTATTATTTCTTACTTTCAGGTGGAGCAGCTGTCCAATATGATTGTGAAGTCCTGCAAGTGTAGCTAAAGACTCAACGTGGCACACTGCTCTGGGTCCTCTCAAAGCACACAGGGATGGAACAAGGGATGCATGAGACTACAGAGAAGAGCACGAGATAAAGAAGAAGAGATAATGTGGACAAGGGGAACAGCATATTTAAAAACCATCAGGAACCCCGGGTTTTCTCCTGCAAGCTCTGCCATTATCACAGTGGACATACATGAAATCATGGACTTCTTTTTTATAGATGTTAGTGATTACATTGTTTGTTTGTTTTTTAATGTATATACTTTTTCCTTGCAAAAATATCTGCCTGTAAATGACTTAATTTATTTGCTGGATGGACAGATCTGTTAAGAAGTGACACACATGTAAAAGTGTGTGACATTAAAAAAAAAAAAAAAAAAGGATTTAAATGATATGTTATAATCAAAAAAGTTGAACAAAGAAAAACAAAACAAAACACGAGGACCAAAATGACCTTCACGGAAGAACTTTTGTTTTCAGTTGATTGCCTCGGACATTTCCAGTCACCACCACAACACTTTCCAAAAGCGGTTATAATAAAAGGTGCTATTTCCCAGGTGGAGAGCTGTGGTTGTTGGGGTTTTCCTGGAAGATAACGCTGCAGGTGTTTTTGAAAGGAGCTGCATCGTAAAGGACAGAAGAAAAAAAAAAAAAAAACCCACAGAGATGGTCCAACCTGGGGAAACTCCCTCTGACTGAAAGGCTGGACTCGTCAGCCAACCGTGCAGTTCGCAGGAACCGTCCATCAGTTTTACTTGCTTGTTTGTTTTCACAGCCCATGTCCTTTTTTACAATGCATTTTTTTTTGTCAGTATGTTTATTATAGAATGTCAAATTGTCCTAAAGCTTCCTGGTTTGTCAAAGCCAAAGGGTAATATCAGCGGTCAGAGTGAAGACACCATGTTTTCTCCCTCTGAGGATTTACAGCCAGAATGTTGTCTTTATATGGTGAAGGTCAGGGGATGTGGTTGTGGTGTTGGTTTTAGGGAAGCCATTCAGACTTTCTTTTTTTTTTTTTTATCGCCATGATAAATTATTGCCTTTAATTTCACGAGGTTTCTTTCAGGAGGAAGTTTTTTTTTTTTTTAACTTTCGTCTGAAATGTTTTTTCATAACTCGAGAACTTTATTCAGCTTCTACGCTCTGGGAATAAGACCCACACAGTTTTCAGCTTTTCAAATTTTTATAGTGCACTTACTATTTGAAATTTGTATTTGTAAATATTTAAAAATGAAATAAACATGTTAAATTATCACATCAGAGTGGAAGATTTTGTGAGCAAAATAAAACCACATGAGATGTTTCCACTTGGAATCGAGCTGTGTTATGTAGGTGCGTGTGTGTGTGTGCGTGTGCGTGTGTGTTTGCAATTCACTTGTCAGTGCATGCATGTGTATGTGTGTGTTTTAATTATGAGAACATTTTATGGAGCATAAACTGAAACACACCCAGACCGATGTGGACATCAATGCCACCGCCGTTTAGACATGCAGTTTTGCCTTGTTCATCACATAAAACATAATTAAAAGGTTTTTTTTCGGGTTAGTTAGTTTAGACATGCTTCGGTCTATGGATGGTAAATGACATGTTATGAGTACGGTTGGCTGAAAATGTAACTTTACTTTATATAAAACTGTGACTTCAGCTGGAAACTGAGAGTTGCCTGTTGCTGATATACGTGGAGCCAACCCCCACACACCTCCCTTTATTCCGACACCTTTTCAGTTTGTGACTTCTTTTCTTCTTAAATGTCTTTCATCTAATTCTTTGCAGACAGGAAAACATATACTAGCACTCCAAATGCACAGAGAACACATGATGCTTCTTTTAGCAAATTTTATAAACCAGGTTGTGCACTTATGCAATTGTTGTCCAATGTCAGGAGACAGATGTACCAGTGGAAAAGTGTGGCGTATGCCAGGTGCATGTGGACTATTTCTGGACAACCACTGGATGCCTGTTGACTCTGGACAACCATGGACTGATTGAGGAAGAGCAGCGAGTCCTACTGAGCTCCACTGATGGCAAAGCCAACCCCAGAATTCCCGGACACACAGCCCCATTCTTGGCACTGCCTTTACCTGAAGGGATGCATGCCATACCAACATTTTTACTATCTCTGTGCACCTTGTCCACCCCACCCCCACCCTGCCAGTCCCACCCCTCTCCCTCTGTACTCAAGGGATTACTGTCAGCCCACGAGGCTGAATTGGGAATGAGGAGAGCAGGTCCAGACCCGTTGGTAAGTCCCAGACTTAAGGGCAGTGACTACATGGAAAATTAAACACACATACTGTACACATACGCATGAAAACACTGAACCCACTGACACACAGCCACAGCTCACAAGCACACCAACATCAAATGCCTTACATAAGCTTTGTGCTAGTGAGTGGTTTGGGGTATGCTTGGGCTGCTAACAAGGTGACAGTGATCTGCACTATCCTGTTCCAAAGCTGGTCATGTTACCCAGAAAGCAAAGCAAAAAGAACCCACAAGGGGCCTGTTTGGAAAGTGCTCTTCAATGGCAAAAAAAAAACAAGAATCATGAAACATGATCAACATAATTGAATCCTTTTTGGTCTCACCTCTCAAAATGATCTGAGTGATCCGTTGCCAGGTCTTATTTCGTAACGGTGCCAAAGCACAATATGTACCGTGTTATCTTGACAGGGAAAATGTAATTGGATTGTTAAAAGGCTTTTTCTCCAACAAAACAGGATCATTATCAAACCTAAACAAGGACAACATGAGTTTAGTTGGGGGGGAGACAAGATCATTAAAAATAGACTCTAAAAATGCATGCACTTCCACCTTGTTTTTTCTCTTTTACTTTCCCTGTAATGACCAAACAAAGGCTATGAATGTCAGGAGGCTCATAAATCTATCAGGGTGTTAATGGAACAGTCCCAGAGGGAAGTTAAACTCAAGTAGGCTTGTCCTTCTAACCGATGTTCACTTCTCAGCAGCTGCTTCCTCTCAAGCCCTCAGGACTTTTTATGGGACTGAAACAAACTCCTGACACCTCCTGCCACAGACTGAAGCACATCCCAGAAAATGCCCCATCCGACGAGAACGAATGGCAGCACTTTGCATTCGCCGCACGACGTGTGAATGTTACGCAAGAGAAAAAAGAGATGCCTGCAGCATTTCGAGGTCAAGCAGGTGTTCTTTTACCAATAACACAATCCACGTGCCGGATTTATATGAGTGCATGAGTAACCAGAAAATTGTTCTGTTGTTGCTCTTCATGAGTTCCAACATAATTGCTCCTTTAATTGCATCCATGTGCTATGTTTCATCTTCTTTCATGTGCAAAAAAATGAAAGGCTCCGTTCATGTAATGATGCTCGAAACATTTTCTCTGTGTGGCACTTTTACGACTTCACAATGAAAACTGATGGCGCTGAATGAAATCTGATTTGTCATCGGCGCTGGTCTTGAAGTGATATTTTGGGTTCTGTCCTGTTGCAATATCTATGACATTTGCAATTACATGTCCGGCAATCTCTCGCCACAACTGCTCATTAAAAGTGGAGCAGAAAAGCGGCCTGGTGTAATTCCTGTGGACTCAGACGGAGCTGACTACGACCGTAATAACAGACCCCGATGTCCTGCTGCTGCTGCTCGGCTCTGCTTCACAAACACACAGCTGCTCAAATCCATTGTTGCTCCAGGTGCTGAATCTGCGTGCATGCATACACAAATACACACAGATCAACAAACATGCCTTTCAACTCCCGGTTTAAACTGTTTTGCAGCGTTGTCGAAATCTTTTTAATTTGATTTTGATAGCAGACTTTCGATTGGTATCAGTTAACGACTGTAATAACTCAAATAAGGTTGTTTTATTTTTATAGGGTTTCTGAACAGGAACATAACTACTGTACGTTTTCTCCATTCTGACTTTAACGTGCAACATTTCCTTATTTAGCTTCATATTATATTTAAGTTTCAGGCTGACCTTATTTTATTTAACAGCAACTGAATTTACTTTAGTTAGTCTGGAAGCAATATTACTTTTTTGTTAGACAGGGTTTAGAATAGCTTTAGTGTATCTTATCTCTTCTTTAAATTTAACTAGATTACTATACTGCACAAATACGCTCCCATGCTGTCATAACATTAACTCGTGTGCATAAAAACAAGATGTGAATAACATTAAACAACCTTATAAGTCCTCAGAAACTTACCAGAGTGTCTACGGTTCATGAGTACTGACACATCGAGCGTCATGCAGAATGTTCAAGGTGAGTTGACAGATTTTTTTCCACCTGTCCTGCCTTTACCGCCATCTCTCTGCTTCACACCTGCAGTTTAAGCGAAGATGCTTATCACAGTCTGAGTCATATCTCTTGCTTCGTCTTCTCTTTTCTCTCTTTACCCCTCTAATCTTTTTGTTAACCCTTGTCAGCTCTTTGAAGACTCCCTGACAATTTTGCGTTTACACCTGAGCTAAACAAAGCGAGCGATGGGGGACGACTGAGGGACGGACAGAATAAAACGCCACAGGCATTTCCTCGTGAGGAATTTAGTTTATGTCTACAAAAAAAATTACAAACGATTTGCGGAAAAACAGCACATTAGCAAATGCGAATTGCTCATTTCCTCTTAACCAGATGATAGCTATGGTCTTTTGTCATGCAAATAACCAGTAGCTAAGATCATAGCTTGATCCACGGAGGATCAAAGGCGGAGGAGAAACTCAGAAACCCCCTTCAAAGTGAAAACTACAAAGGAAAGTATGATACCCCGTGTGAGAGTGTCTGAGTGTGGTTATAAAGCATGCTGTGCCCTGACTCATTTGCTGGACCTCAGTAAGTAAGAAATGTTTTCTAAAAAAGGAAAGGTACCAATTACATCTCTGGACTGGCTCCTTCTCACGGTACCGCCCCTCCATTTCCTTCCTTCTCAGAGTCTCTCTCTCTCTTTTCTCTGCGAGTCCCTGGACACAGAGGGACAGATCTGCCCCTATAAACAGCTACCATCTCCCTGGGTAATAAACAGAGAGGAATATCTGGCTCTGGGCTCTGAAAAGACAACATTGTCCATGTAGGATCTACACCCAGAGGAGAGGCATCCCCTAAATAGCAGTTGAATCTCACAACCCTTAACTCAGGATCGTAACCCAGTGGGTGATGGTGACAGCGAGAGGGGAGGTGAACTGCTGAAGGATCAGGATTAGAAATACTTCTTTTTTTTTTTTATCCCAGAGGGGAAATTGCTTAATGATGTTTGAGGGTTTCATAATTCCATTGATCCCTATTACACTAACATCTGTAAATCGGTGACTTTTTAATGGAAAAAACTCAATGGAAAAAAAAAAAGTTTTTCTCTCCATTTAAAAAAAAAACAAAACTAAATGCTTATGTTATTGCAAAAATTTTAACACAATAACAGCAACTTTAACTGTACATCAGCTGTTTTTGTTTTGGTCACTTGGCGACAGGATCATTCTAAAACAAGCCGACATCCAGATGGGCCTAATACGTTGTCATAAGTCTAACAATTACTCTTCTGTTTGCTCTGTATTGTTTTCTGCCAACTGTTGTGAAAAATAATCCCACTGTTTAGCAAGTTGTTGGACTTTTCCTCTCGGTTGTACTGTTTGCTAAAAACACCTACTTTCTGGTAGCTGGTTTTAAAAGGCGACACATTTCATGAATATTTTCAATAGCCACTCTGAGTGAGCCCTTTCACACAAGCCAAAAAGGTTAGCGGGTTCATTGGCTATAGCAGGATTAGTAGCTTTTGTTAGGATGAAACAATTAAAGACATTACCTTGGGCCTTATTAGACTGTGAATGTTGAAAAGTTGGGATTTCCTGTAATTATATGACTTCACAATAAAACGATTAATCAAAAGTTTTTGATAAATATTAGTATGATTCAAGAGCATATTCATCCACTACAAAATGACACGCTATGTGTTGCACTATGCGATGAAAAGTGAATGGATGTGGACATATGCAGCCATGTAGTTAGAGAATCCAGCGTGGAGGAGCCATGCTGGGAGAGGGGGCAGGACATCATCCCTCCACCAGACCCCTTGGTGTGCTCGACTGACCTGAGGCTGTGACCCTCACCGGTGGGAGAAAACTTGACTTCAATCACACTCTATTACTCATCCCGCTACCTCCTTCGTCCAGTCACACACTTCGACTCACACGGATGCACACACGTAGTAAAGCTGCTCCAAGGCTGCTGACTCCAATTAAACGAGGTGTGACCGAAGTCACAAATCATACACCGGCGTTA